GGACGAGTTAAACTCTCTCTTCTCTTTAAGAATATTACGCGACCGTTTGGGCGCCAGGAAGCTTTGTACCAGATGGATTCCCCATACTTTGACTGAAGCCTGGAAATGCCTTTGCAAGGGATTGGTGTCGTGAAATGTAAGAGAAGCACAACGGTGGTGACTCTAATGCTGTTCTTGAAATTATAACAGGCGATGAAGTCTGGATATATTGCTGCAAACCCGAAACTAAATGACCTGTTCAAAGTTTCCTAGTTGCTATAACTTATAAGTGTTTGTATTATAACGGTGGTAACTTACGACCGTGTTAATTTTTATGTAAAATGTTGACGTTTCATAAGAACGCGCAGGCGTCTATGTGAATAAATATATTTTGATTTGATTTGATATGTTTATCCATGCTAATATTATAAATGCGAAGGTAATTCTTTCTGTCTGTCTCGCTTTCACGCCAAAACTACTGAACTGATTTAAATTAGGTACACAGATAGTCTAGTGCCTGAGAAAGGACGTGGGCTATTTTTAAATTGGAAAAAAGTGTTTTAAGGGGGTGATAATTCTTAATATTTATTTAAGGGCTTCAACGCGAGCGAAGCCGCGGGCGATAAGCTAGTTTGTTACATTCAATAAAAGTGATGGATAGAACTTAATTTGAACGGAACTATTCCGACTTTGACTTTGATCGGCGCTCGTTTATGTTTATAAGTCGATACGCCCAGGCCAGTTGTGTCTATTACAGTCTACTCTTCTATTATTAGACGCCGCTTAGCTCGCCCGAATCTAGTCTAGACCGCCGCCCGCAACCACCACTCGTCCGCATTAAATTGTCTTCTAAACACCATTCTATTTTCACTTAGCCCGACTGATTAGTGTTATTTCAGTCAGCGTGTCGGGCTTTAGGGCTGGGCTTGAACTTGTCTAGAGATTCGATAGCTCGAGGTCCGTTAGGGCTGCACCTTGGGATGGTCGGCTTTTTATGTGATATAAGATGGAAAATGATCTGGGTTTTCTGGAACTCACCTGATGTTAAGTGATATCTGCCGCCCATGGACCGGTGGGGATGCGTTGCCATCTTTTATAAAGTGGTCCCCGGTTACCTCACTCACCAGACGAAACGCAGAAGTATTTCTCTTCCACTTCACGCTGGTCTTCTGTGAGGTCGTGGCACATCCCTGGACGGGTCTGCCCATTCTGTTTGCGTGAAATACCTATGCAGGTTATCGCAATATCCTTTCGTAAATCACCATTTGTTGATTTATTTATGTCGCTCAGCGAAACCCGGATTTGGACCTGAGAACTGAAGATGTACCCCTATCTACTATACTATTACTACCTTGGATAAAAACTTTAAGTATTTAAGACCATAAAAACTTAAAGTAATTTCGATGTTTTATTTAATTAAATATAAATAAACTTAAAATGTATATGTAACTGTAAACATGTACTGAAAATTTGTTGACATAACTTTTAATAAGTACCGATTTAGATAGAATATTTTTAATAAACAAATAATGCGTATAAAATAATTTAATATATTTAATATATTACGTAATAAACAAAAAATGCGAAGTTATATATATTTCAAAATTAAATGAAAGTCAGTAAAACAAGCAATTACTATAACATTTAAAGAATACAATTACACCTTTATACTTTCAGTGCTGTAAAGTATTGATGATCTTTATCGACATTATCGCCATCGATATTTACAGTTGCTCTAAGCACATCACTGGCCACATCATTACCGGCGGTGCACTCACCGCGGGTGTCGGCAAATTGCACAAGCGCCTTCATTCACAGCTCCTTAACGAGAATTAACACTAGTCACTGATAGACTGCTCTTATCGACTGCGGTGCATCCCTATTTCCTCGGTCACAGGACAGGTTTATACTATGACAAAATTTCACCATGAAAATCGCCAACCCTAATGTTGTGATTAAGGGTTGAGACAAGCTAAATAGTTCTAAAGGTTTTCCATGCAACCGGATTAATATTGACATGCAGTTTTTCTTCAATTTCTCAATAAGTTGACATAGCTGTTAAGAGTTCGGTGTCGACACTTAAATAAGGTGGTAAATTCGAAATTGAATTAAATTTTTAATTGGATTCAAAGCCTGCCTATGGCAATACTAATGACCTAGCGCGGATTTGTCCGTACATATCATGAAAATGTGGTCACCGTAATACAAGCTCCACGTCTATGCACCGCTCGGGGCGCCGACAGAGCGCCTATTCACTAAGGCACACGAACGGACCACTTGGATATTTAATTAACTCGCTATTTCCGGATTACTTCAAGTACTGCTGTGCAATTTTTCGCTGAGAATTCTCAAATTCTATACGCGTAACTTATTTCACACATTTCAAACCTTTCAAAGTTCAAAGTAAAAACCAGCCAAGTTCGAGTCGAACTCGCGCACGAATGATTCCGTACCATTATATATAAAAGCGGCAAAAATATCATGTCTGTTGTATGGGAACCCACTTAAATGTTTTTTATTCTGCTTTTTAGTATTTGTTGCTATAGCAGCAACAAAAATACATCATCTGTGAAAATTTCAACTGTCTAACTATGACGGTTCATGAGACGCAGCCTGTTGACAGACGGACAGACAATAAGACAGACCGACAAATAGTCTTAGAAATTAGGTGAACCGCCAACTTGCAGTTACCCACCACCTTATCACACCTTCTGTGAGGTCGTGGTACTTCTTCGGACGGATCATTCGTGCCAAGAACCTTGCGTGGCCCTCCCAAAATGAAGGCGCAATACCTAATTCAACTTTACAACCACGTAAAGCTGATATAGGGTTCAACTCATTATTGTGGCCCCGGTTATCTCACTGACCAGACAAATCGCAAGAATATATTGTAATACTTTTACTTCACGCCTGTCTTCTGTGAGGCCGTAGTATTTCTCCGGACGAGCCTGCACAAAGCTGCTGTGTGGCCATAGTGAAATTGACGTACAAACATTTACCAAACAAAACATGTAAAAACATTACTAAAGATAAAAATATAATAAAGCTAGCAACTCTCTCAATCGGAGCAATGCTCGATGCCCGACGAAAGGGAACGCGTTCCGTTTCATTCGCTTTCGTCGTTCGATTTTCGAAAACGTCTTCCCAGCAACGGCTTCATTCAATTTTGAGCGGGAAAAGGCAGGTGTCACCGTGTTAAAGTCATAAGGCGAAACAACATTTATATTATTTTTATTTTTCTATCGAATATTGTCATATTATTTATATGTAGAAGGAATTTCTTTTTTAGGATGATAATTTAATATTTCCGTCTTGCCCAATTTTTCATCTGCTCACAAGTTTAAACCAAATGTAACGATTGATGATTCCTTTAATTAATTCTGAATTATACACAAATCTACTTTTATATTTTATACTGTTATTAATATGGTAAAAAGTATCTAATGACTAATGAGTTTTGATTTGATTGCGCAATAAAATTAAAGTTTAACTAAGATTATAATTTTAATAATCATATTCAAAGCAATAATGGTCATATTTCCATGAATAAATTATAATGAGCTGATGGAATGATTACAAACGTCCGATTTAAAACGTCCGATGATACAATTTCATTGCCACTGAATAATTTAAAGAAAGCATATTTTTGTTAATCAAAGTATATTTGGCGATATTTATACTGCTGTTTTCATGTGTATATATCAACAAACGAAATGTCTCACCGTTCAAAAATAAATCAAGTTATCTTACGAATAACGAGCTATTAGAATTAAACTTGAGAAAATATGTATGGAACAATAATTTCCTTTACGAAATCTACACTACTCTCTTATCTTCTAGGTCTTGAAACCAACGAAATAAACGTAGTGATTACATTCTCTCTGCTTGAAACTTGTATGAGTCAAAGCCCCACAGAGCAAAGTTCCATTGAAATAACGTTGCCTTATTTTGATCGAAAATCAAAGGGCGCCACCACGTAGTGCTAACAGTTTGTACCCAATATGAATTGCAAACACACGCTAATGAACGTGAGCCTGCATATAAATATAATATAACTGGGACTAGATGTGTAAAAATAGGTCTTATGGACCTATTTTTACACATCCCAAACTAAGCAAAGCTTGAAGAAATCCGAAAGATTAATACTTCCACTTCGCAACGGTTCACTGTGAGGTTGAGTACTTTCCCAGATGAGTCTGCACATTCATGAAAGAAGCTGATACGTAGCTCAACCATAGTATGAGATTACCCCCTCCCCCCTCTTTTATAGATTGCCCCCATGATACAAAAAGACCTCCTCGAGTCCTGAGGCTCGAAACAGCATCGTTTATACCAGTTGCAGTATATCGATACTTATTACTTTTAAATTAGAATTATTACTAAATGAGACTAAATGTAACTACGTCCAATGTAGCATTCCTCCATGCGCAAAATATTATTAAAAAGGATCATCGTTTTTACTTCTTGTATTAATAATAGTATAGCAAAACCATAATGATATTATATACAAACTATAGGTAGATATTGACACTCGCGCACCCAACGGAGGCACTTAAATTACACCATTTGGTGTAATTACATAGCAACTCTATATACTGCTATCTCTTTCCGTATGACACGTTCTGTATCATCTGTCATATTCGCTTATACATGTCATATAATGTAATGCGGAATAGTTTTTAAACGACGCGCAGTATGGATATGCGTCATCTAGTATTATTAAAACATCATTAGCTACCCGACAATTGGCTTTTTTGTGAACAAATATCAAGTCAATCCATCGGCTAGTTTTAAGGTTTTGTGGACAGAAACATACAAGCTGAAGCAAAATAGTTGTATATTAAGTTTTGGTACTACCGGTCCGTGATAACATTAGCCATATTTGAACACTCCGCCGGTAGTAGGCATGAAACCGTGTATTGTATTTTACTATGGTCTTGCAATGGGACATTAGACCTTTCTAAACGGTGTAAATTTAGGAGCGCAAATATGACTGTTTATGGCGCGACTCAAGTGGACGAATGGGTCTGGCTATAGCGAGGAATGTCTTCCTGGACCGTACAGGTGTCAAGGCATTGTTACGAGCGCCATCTATATTTGGACAATGTGTAACTGTTTGCATAGAACAAGGAAAATAGGTAGCAATTCAAAATACATTTCGCAGCCCGCTAGTAATTTACTATTTCACCTGTTCTATTGAGGATTTCATTGGTATATTTTTAATTATTAACTGACTAATTAAGTAAATCGTAAATAATGAGTATAGTGAATCAACTTGAAGATACCCTGCAGTATAGTTTATTTTGGGCGCAGGCTGTTTAAAACAGTTGATACGCAGTGCGTGGTTACAATTACGTAAAGCGTCGCATATTAAATGACGGTCTTGACAATGCACGTCAAGTCAAGCCTCAACCTCAATCGATTTCTGTGTACCATCCACACACAACTTTGGTACGGCCGCGCAACAGTCTTCGGTGTTGCACGAATGGACAGGTCCGTCCGGGGAAGTACGACAACCTCACAGAATACCGGCGTGAAGTGGAAGAGTTAACCCTCTGCGTTTCGTGTGGTGAGTGAGGTCCAGGGGCCCACCTTATAAAAAGCGACCCTACGGGTGCTTAAATGTCCATGGGCGACGGTTGTCACTTAGCATCAGGTGAACGGTCATAAAAAAATGACACTTCTTCGATCTTTACTGCGGAAATACCTTTCTTACAGATTGTACACGCGGAAGCAGCGTATATTATTCTATTAGGGTGGCAGCCGCTTTAATACTATTGTTTGTTCTGAGGGTGTAACATTAAACCGAAGTGATTCTGCACTCCTAATAAGCTGCTTTAGCTGCTTCGCTTGTATACCTTGTCGACGACATTTTCGCCTAAGCATTCGCCGCATTCAACATAACAAAGCGTGTTTATGGGTCATTTGAGCGCCGAACCGTAAAGTTGCAATAGTAAAGATCCCTCGGACAGTTAAATCCGCGTGTTCGTTTTGTGATAGCGGCCGTTAACTGGTCGAGTTGCGCATCGCAGACGGAAGTAATGAGCTCGGTTTTGTATAGCCACGTCCGTGCAGACGACTCAAATAGTTGGGTGTGCCCTTTTACGGGGCAAAGCGCCAGTATGTTATACGGACGACTGTACACTAGTATTCAAATGGCTGTTCTTACTAGACGTTAAGACCATTGGCGTACAGTTCGATACAAGAGGATAGGTGAAACCCAAAGATTGATGAATTACAGCCGCTTATTTATGCTCGATATGGCTCCGTGCCGAACGTGGAATATGCTAATGAGGCTTAGATTTATACTCACCGCTTGACTAAATACCGTACTTCAACATTAACTATTAGGTTAGGTGTACATTCGTGTATCAGTACAGTAAATCCAATTGATGTCCATAATTTGACAATTGTAGCACTGCTTGTGCCGTACGTATCTCATTTTCAAAATGCGTATACTGGACGACATAATTAAGAGCTGTTTTAAAATATCTAATAGCCAACTTTCATATGGAATCGTTATTTTATATTCGCTACCATCTGAAGTTTGAAATAAAAACTGAATTCGATCATTTGTGAAGTTATGTTTATATAAAAAGTAAAGTAACAACCTATACATGTCCCACTGCTGGGCAAAGGCCTCCTCTATACAGAGGGTATCAAGGCATAGTCTAGCATGCGGTCCCACTGCGGATTGTCGGATTTCACATATGTTCGAAATATATATATTTTTGTTATTATGTCTATATATGTTTATTTAAATGTATGTTTATGCATATTTGTAAATTAATGATTGATTGCTAATTTCGTTAACACACCTGTCAAAGTATTTCACTGCACCAATAACTTGATGACTTTAGAAATCAAGTCCGCCCTTATTTTCTTTCATTTTAAAAGGAAAAAAAAAATTGTCATAAATATGAGAGGATACGTTATATTCGATGTCCACGTAAACACATAGCTTCGTTTACTTCCTCCTGTGAATATTTACTTATGCAATGGCAATAATGATTTACTGTCAATCCACGCGTATACTAATGATACGCTTTAATGATATTAGTTTCATTGATATCATTTAATTAAAATGTCTTCGTAACGTAAACATTTACGCATATATATAACCTTCCATCGAGCAGACATCAGGCGCTAGAAAGTACTTTAGTTAATTAATAGCTGTCATAAAAGCTCTGATCTAATTCATTAGGTACAAACTGAATGACGTCTTGCAACCGCTACGTTATCTACCTTAAAATTTGTAGAAAAAAGTACGAAAAGTCGATTCCCACAGCGGTTTAGCCGATCGCACCCAAGCGCTTTAACCATTCAACTAAATGGCTGATTGCATCACTGAGGAAAATCTTAAACATTGTTTATTCCTTACGCATTTATATTATTTACAACATACAAACTATATATCGTTATTTATCCACCTTTAACCAATTTATCTTGAAGGTTGTGTAAAGCAAAGCAATAATGTACTGTGTTTTGTTCCAGCGATACTTCAGCGTGCGACGTACAAGGTAGGCCTCCTGACGATCCAGGGGGCCTCGACCTGCCTGTACCTCTGTATGGACGCGTGCGGGTTCCACTACGCAAATGTAAGTAGACGTACCACCTACTAATACAAAACCAGGCTGCAAAGTGGTAGGCGGCCCGTGATGGTTAGCGATCTATGCTGGTTGCTATTGTGCCTTTAGTGCCCTCACGAGTTGTGGAAGTATAAAAACATCACGGTGTTTTATGTGACTGTACTTCCGGACCGTTCATTTTAGAACCCATGCCAAAGAACTTTGCATAGATAGGCGGGTCCGTCCGGGTATGTACCGCGACCTTACAGAAGACCGGCGTGAAGAGAAAGTGTTATACTTCTGCATTTGTGAGATAACCGGAGCACACTTTATTTAAAGGTGGAAAATGAATTTGTTAATATGCGGAGGTGACAAGTGAGCTGACGGTTCATCTGATGTTGACATTAGCAACACCCGTAAGTGCCACCCCCGGCTACCTCACTCACAAGACGTTACGCATAATCATAACACTTCCATACTGATTACTCGGACGAGTCTGGCCATTCGTGCAACAGCGAAGACTGTTGCACAACTGCGTGGCTCTACCAAAGTTAAAGTATCTATAAAAATAAAAATATATAATTTGCCCCCCCCCCCCCCCCCCCCCCCCCCCCCCCCCCCCCCCCCCCCCCCCCCCCCCTTCCCCCCCCCCCCTTCCCCCCCCATTAGCAAATAGATATGCATCTCATCGTCGCATTGCATTCATGCTATGAAGGGATTGTAACGGGATTGTCATAACAATTAAATGCCGCTTGAAAACAATGGTGTGGGCGTAGAATTAGTATTGTGCAAAAGTTATCCACCCTTTATCGTATGTAAAGATCGAAGTTCATTTTTACGCAAGGCCATATCAAGTAAAGTAATAACCTTCATATACTATACTTATGAATGAAAGCCTCTTCTACCATTCTTCGATGTAGCCCCGTTGCGGATTGACCGACTTCGATAACAGTTTTGGAACGATGTTCCTTAAGACGGCACGCGGGAGGTGAGAATTAAAACGTCACGTAAGGAAAAAGCGTTATGACTTACCCAAGAAATCGTTGTTAAGAATAAACGACAATTTCGTTATGCATTCTCCATTCTCATCACTCTTTCCATCACGTGCTATTGGACCTGGTTGGTAACGTGGTATGAAATGCGAGCGGCGTTTAATTTTATTTTCTGGTAAACTGATGCTAAACAAAGCTAGCTTCAAAATTACTACTTTAAAAAGTATTTCATCAAGCAAACAGCACATGAAATACTTTCCAGACGTCAAATCTTTTAACCCCGAGAAGAATGACGAGATCACAGTGCTTATCACCGTCGTAAACCCTCAGAGTAAATGGGAGGCAGTTCTCGCGCCAGATATAATGCGAGACAGAACACACAAGATATCTGAAAAAGTAAGTCTCGTATTCAACGAACGCGTTACGAATCGAACCTTAGATCGCGAGACGATGGCCGCTCGACCTCTATTTAGAATATCTGTCGCCGATTAATCCAAAAGGTTTTCCATTATGGTGATGCAATAAATACAATTAGCCGCAACTTAATTAGGAACCGCAAAGCTAGACTCGCAAACTACAACTTATAAACGTAAGTGAATAGATTTATCTATTTGTAAAATATTTGCTTCAAATCGTGATGACTAAACAACCAGCAATGCTTTATTCTAGGTGAATTTCACAAGTGTCAATACTTTGATTTTAAAATACCTGAATAAAGTCATTGGCTACTATTGCTTCGTAAGTCACTAAAATGTATCGACCATTGTTACGTCTAAGTACTCAAGATCTAGTCAGTTTCTTGTCAACAAGTTAGTTTAACACAAGTAAAACAAACATCTTTCGTGTGCGCGAGAGAAGAGTCGGTATTATCATCATTGAACCCCTAGACACTGGCCGCATGCAACCCGGCAAAGTAAATCAGTCAGCATCCATTATCGCAATTGAACTATTCCTGCTCCGAACGAATTAGTCGCTTAATAACACACTCGCCTAGATCGCAACGCGGTGGTCTCCTGCATTCCCTCACGGAATGACATCGGCGCAGCACCCACCCCGTTTAATTGAAGCCCATCATTGCCCCGCACAAGTATCGCGTAATATGAACAGAACTTGCGTCGCCACGCGTACGATTTGCAATTTATTCTTTCATATCTAAGGGAATGGAACCTAAAAATATTTTGACGTCGTTAAGAAATTTTATTGACCATTAAAATTGTGAGAGTTTAAAAAGGAAGACATTTTTGGATTAGTTGTATGTTGAGTTTCGATGATGATGATGATGAGTTTCTGGGGGGAGGCCTAGGTTCAGCAGCGGACTTAACAGCAGGAAACGTTGATGATGATGACGTGTTACTTAGCATTATTAAGCGACAACTTATTAATGTAACTTTGTATGTAAATAAGGATTTATTTTAAACGATCCATATCCGGTCAGGTCCAATTCCTATACAGTTAATATCATATCACATACGACAGCCACCTTTTGAATAACATTAGAAAAGTGGAGAGTGGTTTGCTTCCGAATGTTGATAATAGACTCGATACCCGATACGACCGATATTTTAATTTCGCATACGTGTTTAAGTTCTCGAGCAGGTAATATTAAATCGACTAAAATAACACCACATTAGGCTTCAATCGGAAGAGATATATGATTTAAGACAACTTTAATTTTGCCTATCCCCGTAAACTTTTCAAAGTTTACTGATTACTTCGAGGAAAGTAAAACTGTCCAGTATATAAAATAAAAGGAACTAACTGGCGGCATATCGTGTTTTACAACGCCGCCTTCTTTATCGTATACGTCGAAACGAAGCTTAGTACAAGCTATCCCGAGGGCCGTTCGGCGTTGATGAGCCGGGTCAGATCTCAGATACGTTGTGGGACTTATCCCAGACCTGCTCTATAGCTGGGCGCGATGTTACGCTAGGGTGGGTGCACGAATGCACGTTTCGGGATAATTCGTGCTGACGATAACGACTGGACAACGTAACAGCAACACTGTGATGTCTTTAATGAAAAGGTTGTTCACTTCCAAATTAAGACACATATTTGTATAGCTAGCAAATATATCAACCAGCAATAATTCGTTAATTTGCAAACACTTAAGCGCCTGAAGGTGGCGTTTATCAAACATTTTTTACCAACGGTAAAATAAAAAAATAAAATAATCTAAACAACATAGTCAGCGTTTGAAATCTTAAAAAAGAAAAATAATTATGTGGTAAGTAGGACGGTTTTAATGAGCAGTAATGATTCTGTGACAACGGACGCCCAATCAATTAAGAAATACAGATGCCTTAAATCGTATTCATAATTATTAGTTAAATTTCTAATTAATAAACAGAAGCGTATTGTAGATTACAATGTGAACGTGTTAAAGGAAACAGTTAGTAAGCTTTCGATTATCTAATTGCCAATTACCGAAACATCCCAACCGTTTTTACGTGATAAGGTTTCAATGTGTTAAGGCCAAGCAGCGCAGCCCTGTTTTCTCGGGCTCAAAGAATAAGGCTAGGAAAACTAGCTAAAAGGGGACACGGACTGGTAGCATAACAAAGTTATCTCGAGCTGTTGCATAATGGTGCGGGCATTCGCAGAAGGTTTATCCTTTTCCGAGGCGTGCTCATACGCAGTACCGAGGACACCAGTGCGTTCCGTAGACGATCCCGGAGTCCCTCCAAACTGAAAAACTTAGCATCAGGCGACGCAGTAGACAAGCACTGGCCATCGCACAAGAGAAACGAATACGTTAAATTGTAATGCGTCTTCTGGTTTTGCGCCCAGACGCTTTACCAACTAAGGTAAGTGGCCGATGACCTCACGGGGCAAAAATGTTGACATTCGCCATGACATAACGTCAAGCATTGGTGGAAGTACAAAAGAACGAACATGTCATGACTTTCGCCCCGTGTGGTCACAGTCAAGTTATATAAACTAGACCTTCATCCCCATTCCGCTTCCAATTTTCTATAAAAACTTATTATCCAAAAGTCCGGTCACATTCGTGGTCACACTACAATGAATAACGCGGAAGCGTTATGGCAAGCACTAACACACGCCCAACGAAGGCGATTAAAATCTCCCATCACTGATGGAATAACTTCATCTATTGCGTTCTAGCGCAGCGAAGATACTCAAGTAACCTATAGTAATATTATAAAATTTCTAATGTTACTCTCCGTGTTATTTAATTTAATTCATACTAAAAATTTTAGCACTAACGAAGTACATCATCATCATCAGAGTAACTATACCATATATAAGAAAGGACAAATTTTTAGGGTTCCGTACCCAAAGGGTAAAACGGGACCCTACTACAAAGACTCCATAGTCTACTTAAACTCGCCCGCAAGAATCGTTACTTCAAGTTGCCCATTCTTTTCACTCTATTGATATCGATCTTATTACAATGTTTTAGTTCCTCTCCGCCTCAAAGGTCCGACCACAAAGAGACTTTCACCACACCCGGATACCGATCCGTCATCGTTTGATCGATGGTGATACGGGACCATCCCCCCCCCCCCGCGCCCCCTACAAGAGCATACACTGACGTCACAATAAATGACCCAGTTCATTCTTTACCGCAACAATAAACAGTGTCATCGAAAACCGAACACAGCATTCACGACTTAGTGTTATTGTGATACAGTTCAAAATAGTTAGCGCCCATCGAGTAGCGTTTATTTCAATAGATTCCTTTCAATGCGTACGTTCATTGTTAATTGAATTGTTTGACAGTCGATCTGTTATGATCTGGTACACTTGTTTGTGGGTGGCGTGTAGGGGACGTCGCGGCCGCTGTCAAAATATGGCGGGAACAGTTTCACAGCAGAAAAACAATGGTGTCCAGACACAATAAAATAACAATTTTCATTGTTCGTCTCACGATCGGATATTAAAACCAAACACCGAAACTGATTCTCCGTGTGTAAACTATCTAGGGTATGCTGTATGCAATAAATCTGGCACTGGCACTTGCTTTTTAATTCAGTATACTCGATGAATTTCCTAATATTTGCAACTTAAAAAAGTTATCGATCTGTGGTAGGGCCACGTAGCGGTTTTCGCTGTTGCACGAATAGGCAGGCTCATCCGTGGTAGCACCACGGCCTCACAGTAGACCGGAGGGAAGTGTTATTACTTCTGCGTTTGTCCTGATGAGCAAAGTAACAATTATATATCACAAAAACTAAGACAGAAACTAAAACTTGTAGTTGAAATTTGCAGTGTACATCATAATACTATTACGTATACTCGTAATAAACGCGAAGTCAAAACCCCTTGATTTAAGCGCGAAAAATAGGATTCAACAAGAGACCATTAAAAAAAAATTAGCCTGATTTAAAATTTAATATCAACAATAATTATACAAATAATAATTGAAGTCGATGGATGCAGGTGGCTCAGGATTGTACTTCATGGCAGTCTGTGGGGGAGGCCTATGTTCAGCAGTGGACTCAAACAGGCTGAAATGATGACGATGATGAAATAGTCAACTGTTTTCAATCAATCTCAGAAAAGTTTTCCTAAACCGTCCATTCCCTTATAATTGTACTAATCTTAATGCAACAGAAATTAACAATTACCAAAATATCATTAATGCTGCTAAAATATTTACTGCCCTTTGAAAGACATCTTTGAAAGATATCTATCCAAAAACAAATTAGATGCCCCTATAACCGAGTAAAGCGTTCGGGTCCGAAATCGTTTCCCTTCGACGTATTTATGTCTTAATGTTGTAACTTTTTGCCGTAGCAACCCTTAACTGAATGTCAGGGACGCGCGGATGATGCATCGCCCCTTCCGTTAATAAACGCGCACGGGGCTAACGCAATATGGCGGCGGCTTCCATTTCCAAACTTCGTTCGCGGTGAATTTATCGTGCCTATTGCGCCCACGCGGCGAGGCGGCCCGGCTCGCACTTGCATGTAGCCTTTATCTTTATTCGGGAATAATAAAAGGCTTTTACATTACTCGCGTGTATGTTACACGGGTAATTGCGTGCCGTCTTCCCACGTGTCGGGAAGGGATATCGATAGACGTTTGACGGCCCCGGAGTTTAGGATAACGACGCCTCTAATATATGCCGACGTCTGTAGCATTCGGAGTGACGAGCGGCCCGGGAACTCGGGAACGATCGCTCGGAAAGCCGTTGTTTATAATAACGCTTTCCGTTTGTCGTACACGCATTCGCGTTTATAGCGTTTTGTCGACGTTAATAACGAATGGCCATTCGGTGGGACGTCAGTAGCTATCGTGTACTGGACAGTTTGTGACGGTGGATTATTGCTATCTCTTCATTTTAAAAATACTCTTGTGTGAGATTCACCGCGATGATAAGACTGTTGTATTTTTCTAAATCACTTGATTAAATATCAAGGCTTGATTAAATAAACGGCGTGTGTTAAACTTTTTAGCTCGAGTTATTTCTATTGTTACCTTAATATATGGATCTTATTACAAATTGTAACATAATTTTCCGTCATCCCTAAAACATTAGTCAATTAACAGTTTGATAATTTACAAGCGTGTTTATTTCGTATAAATTAAATTTTTGGACCTAATAGAGCCACGTCCGTACTTAGTTATCCGCCAATAGAGCCCAATATAAGAGCGACAAATTAAACAGGAACATAAACAAAGTCACAAACAAGACGCGATAAGCATCACGAGCCTTACGGGACGAGCTATTAAAGTTTATAAAAAAGCACAGTTATGTGGGGCCGATGCCATTGAAATATCAATTCTCATAGACCGCGTAGTATTATCTATATATTTCAGTCAGAAACTATCGATATAGGGAGGCAATGGCATTCAAGTTTATTATTTTATTTACGGAATGCATTGAGACTATTCTAATTTTAAATTTAATTTCGCGTTACAATTAATATGCGCTTAATTTAAAATTAGTTTTTTTAAATAACTTCATTGCGTAGAGCGCGATGATTGTTGTTCGTAAACGTATTATACATAATAAATATAACATGTCTCAACACAGAGAGCATTTTGTACAGGAAAAGACTTCGCTTTCTTAATCCTTACATATCCTATTATATACAGAGTCGTGGACGTACAAAAAACTCATCAGTAAAATAAGGAACAGTAACGATAATGTACAGGTAGATATTCTAAGTATTTTAGGGACACCTAGTTTCTGTATACAATACTAGGTACACAGATTTTCGATCGTGTTTTAAACCTATGAAACGTTTATGTTTATATTCATGTATTTATATTTAAATCGTTCGAAGTATGTTCCATAAACATCCAATTAGTCTCCAACTAAGCACAGCTTATACCATGAGAGCTAGGCAATTCATAAACATCTATAATATAATAGACTGAAGGCGTAACATTCAGACAGAAAGACAGATATACATAAAATATCTATATAAATTATAGCCTATGTCTTATTCTGATGTATAAGCTATATTATTGTAAAGTTTCATTAAAATCCATTCAGTAGTATTTGCGTGAAAGACTTACAAACATCCACCCAAACAAACAAACTTTCGCCTTTACAATATTAATAATAATGTGAACATTATAGAAATATACATAAACACCTAGATACTAGAATAACACGTTCATAGCACAATCGTATCAGGGATCGAAGCCACACCTTCTGTCGGCAGAGACAGGGTAACTATCCATTACGCCATTTGGGTTGCCGACGTAACTCTGCAATGTGATACTCTGATAACTCAGTGAGAGCAATGCATTTTCACATCATCAATCTATGTCCACTGCGCGCACTTTCCACCCCTTCATGGGGTAAAACGCAATAAAGCAAATTAGATTTAGTACAACCGACTTTGTTTTTGTCTCACAGCTATATCGAAGCACGTGATAAGCTTATAAATTGTTCTGTCCGAAAAACAAACGTCATTGTCTCCCATCCGCCATTAATTCGTGAACAGAAAGGGGAATAGATGGGTATTTCATGTTATTATTTATTTATACCATAATGTCGGATTATAATTAAGCTGCTCTTGTTATTTGTACGCGTCTCGCAATCGATTTAAACTCCAGACTTTTCATTTGAATACTTTGCATCGTCGATGAAAAACGTTCAACGTCCTGTTTTCATTGTCACCGAGACGTGACATTTATTCGTTGTGTGTGTGTGTTAGGTAAGATTTAAAAAAATAAACGAGATAAAATCCATAGTTTTTTAGGAATGCGTGTAAATTACACTTCGTTATGTTGTATTAACACAACTCACTCAATGCAGGTAAGGGGGGGGGGGGGGGGGGGGGGGGGGGGGGGGGGGGGGGGGGGGGGGGGGGGGGGGGGGGGGTGGTGGGGGGGGGGGGGGGGGGGGGGTGGGGGGGGGGGGGTGGGGGGGGGGGGGGGGGGGGGGGGGGGGGGGGGGCGATGAAGTGTCAAAAGGCATACATGCTCCAAGTGCGAGTATAACTACAAATTGCTATAACAATGTTAGTTTACGCGTTCAAATAAAAATAGTTGTGTATAATCCCAATGGAATTCAAAGCTCCGAAGGTCACCTGTTTGTCTTTACCATCGCCGAATGTTCAAACGAACAGCCCAGAATTATATTATCCTACTGTAGAAATTACATTTAAAAAAAACACTCATCAATAATAAACTATCAAATTTCTAATGTTAAATTCGGGACTTTTATCATTATTTTAATAAAATATCTACTCGGTTTAACATTGCTGGAGTAAATTTCGTCCCCTATTCTAAAAACCGGTTGCAATAACAAAATAAACAATTCCGTTTCAACACCCGCTAATCGTAGAGGCGGGGGATTCGGCAAAGCGTTCTATTTAAAAAGGTCTCTAGTTCTTCAAAGCCCATTAGAAGCTTCCGACTTAAGAATCATCCGCGCTATATGGGCGTCGGGTGATCCCATTAGACTAGGCGCCGATAAGGGCGGAGTGACACCATTAATCAGGAAGTAGTCGATTCATTACCGCGGGCGGCGAGAATCGATTTGTCATAGGAAGATGTGTGGCCCCGACTAGATACGGCATTCCTTGTTATCCTTGCTGACAACACGCCTCCCACCTTACCATACAGCAGTCACAATATAATGTACGTATTAAAATAATACTATAATTTTGTATTATTTTGAATAAAAAAAACGACTTCACTAACGCGGAAAGTAAAACAACATTGTGAACTCCTACGACATTTGAGGATTGCCCTCGATTTCTCTGGGATGCCATCATCAGATCTGGGTTTCCTTATATATCTTTCTGGAATATCTCCTTTCCAACAAAAAAAGAATCATCAAAATCGGTTCATAAGTTACGAAGTTCTCCCCGAACACACATAAAAAAAGATAAAAATATATACGGTCGAATTGAGAAACCTCCTCCTTTTTGAAGTCGGTTAAAAATTACGATTGCCTGTTCCCTGAATAACCGCGGCACTCGCGAAAGGAATGTCGTTTGTATTGCCATAGTAAATTTATAATATAATTAATTCGTTGTCAAAGGTTTGAGCTGTGAATTTTACGCAAAATTGTTTAATAGGAAGTACATAAAAGAAAATACGTAAAAGAAAATAATTTCTATACATAAATGTTTGCATTTATTTAATAACTCTTTAACGTAAGAAAGTAAAAACAGACATACACAACTATTTACAGATCATCTTTAGAAATATGCTAACAATAGTAGTTTTAATATTTTGCAAACAAAACCGATTTAGGTCTGCAGCATTCCTGTTACAATACCATAAACTAAAATAGCGCGGGATGTGAAACATTCCCCGCTCCCAATAGAGTTAGGTTGTTATTCATGGCAGATTGACGTAGGATTTAAATCTAATGGATCGATTCAAAACAAAAATTTATTGGTCCCGTGCGCTTTCTATTTTTCGATATGGCTGATTTATAGGGGTACGAATAATGGAAATTTTGAAAATAAAACACTGACATGACATATAGAATTGTATCAAAAATTTAATCTGAAACAGAAACGACTAGCGTAGCGTCACATTTTCTTTGTTTAAAATTTATGAGAAAAAAATCGAATATTGAATAGCATATTTTATTGACTGTGTTGTAATAAAAAAAATAAACACGTCAAAATACGCAAAGCGGAGCGATTCCAGCAATTCAGTTTTATTAAAATTATAGAATCCTATGATTTTATGACTTAGTAAAGGCTAGTGATATTATTTATCATATTCTTTTTACCCTTTTCATTAAACGAACATTGAAAAAAGTTCATTTAACATTTGACAACAACCGATAAGCGCAATATAGATTATGTGGCAATTAATATTATTTTTGAAATGTAAAGGAGTGAAATTAAAAAGCTTTGTACAAATGGCGCCTGCGAGATAGGATCTGTGGTAAAACGAACTGAATAATGCGACCGCCTGGGTGTTCCTGTTTAAGTACGTCCTAGTATTAACCAGATAGGGCGGTACTCCATTATAATTTGTGAATAATGATCCCTTATCCCTTTCTTTGAGCACTGAAAGCGTTTTACAGTTAGTTGACAGTTTACAACAGATTAAAAAGGGATGTCATTCGTCAAACGATATCCGAATTTAAATGTTGCCTAATCTAAAACTATTAAATGTACAGATTTACATTGCTTATATAGTTGAGTTTGATTTGTTTAACTGCTCTCCGCTCTGAGACCGTGAGGTTTTTTCGTAATGATTAATTGGCTACTCCTTGGTAGGTGTTTTTAAATAAATGTTTATCATGTAATTATTAACTTTGGGCACGAATTATCTGTTAATTCAATTTTGTTTTTTACTGTTTTCTACTTATTTTTTGTCCTTTCTTATTGATTTGTACAAATCCGCTATTTGTACAAATCAATCACTTTTACAACGGTTTTTGACCTGGTTATAATATTTCAACGCCAACCGTACAAACTTTGATAGCATGCATAGTTCAAAGGTTAGGTTGATCTCCTTTGAATACTGCTATTGCTTGTCGGTTAGGGTTCAGCCTCGTCACGCGGCAAAAATTTGTATGTCTCTATGTCCATGTTTACCATGCTGTAGTATCTCCAGCGACTCGGGATTTATATCTTATTGGAATTTATAGTAGAATAAACCATTATTTCTTTGATTAATTCTTTTCTAACAATTGGAACGTATACACATTTATGGTTCATGTATACCCATTTTTATTTCACCGTTGTACTGATTATTTACGAAAATGAATGATAATCGAAAATGAAGATTTTAATTCTTTCCTCTTCGGCATAGCACACTTGGAAGAAATCGCGTTTCTCGGGGCATAACATTAAATGTTAGCTTAAGTGACCGTGACGGAAATCGATCGGCACAGGGCTCATCCGAGCGGCAGACATGCGTCCCCACGCGGAAGCGTCGGCTCAATAAATCTCCGATCGCCTAATCGCCTAAGTGCGGAAGCCTGGGCCCTTATTATGACAGTGGCCGATTACGGGGCCTCTCGGTCGCATCGAGATCATTCAATCCGATCCATCACTCATAATCTCCCGTTTGCGTCACCGCTTCCTCTCCCGAACGGGCCGCGGGAGCCGATGCCGGCCGCGGGCAGACGCGCCGCGATAATTGGCGTCCGAGGCAAATCAGTTACGACTTTCGATCCGCGCGAGAACGTTTAACCGTGGTAGGGCCACGCAACAGCTCGCTGTTGCACGAACGGGCAGCTCCGTCCGGGGAAGTACCGCGACCTCACAGAAGACCGGCGTGAAGTGGATGTGGTACACTTTTACGTTACGTCCGGTGAGCGAGGGAAACGGGGCCCACTTTATTAAAAGGCGGCAACTCATCTGCAAACATACGGGTGTTACGAATGTCCATGGGCGGCTTTCACTTAACACCAGCCCGCTTTCCACCTTCTCACATAAAAAGTAACAAAAAGGTGGCAAGTGATTATCTCCCGTGGTCATCTCAACACCCGTGGATGCAGGTGTATTGCTAACCATTAACATGTGGGATCTTTCACCGGAAAACGCAAAAGTGGGATACTTCCTCCTCACGCCGGTCTTCTGTTAAGCTGCTACTACCCCGACCGAGCCTGCCTTTGCATGCGATAGAAAAAGCAGCTCAGTAGCTTTACCACAGAAATAAGAATCGCATATATTATAGGGTTATATTTGTTTAATTTTTTAGTTGTTTAGTTCTCGCATACCGTGGATGTAACCTGGGATAATAGAGCGCTTGCTTCCTGTTACAAGTGTTGAGATTAACTTCGTCCAATTATCATAGTCTAATCCGTCTCTGTACACGCTTGGTTTATTTTTAGACCGCACCTTTAAGTTAATAGTTCGTTCGGAAGCAGTTCGGATTTAGTAGGGTTGGCTTTTTTATTTTCCTCACAGTGAAGTAGAGCTTACACGCTTCACTGTTAAATATGATTCATTAAACACGACGGGCTTTTTTAACTTACACTAGGGCTAAGGTAAGTTCGTTTTAAATGATAATCAAATAAAGTAATTTATTTAGATTAAAGTCTGTCCCATGAATGCAGTAAAGTGTCGGAAACGTCGGAAACTTATAATAAAATGAAAAAGCGATAAAATACGTAAAATTATTTTATTCTTTCACATATAGTTTTGACGTAAATACAAGAAATCAATATCATCAAACTTATTTCAAATATGGGCCTCCCCTACAGACACAATACTGCTAACTAATGCTAGAGTAATAAAACGTTTAAAGATAATAAATCGAAATGGATTAATAGCACCGCCACAAAAGATTAACACCAAGAATGGGTATCGCGTTGGAAGAAAAAAAAACTGACTCCAGTTCCAACTTTAAATTCGGACTAAAGGGTTTCGCCGCGCCACAGGCGCCGCCGTTGTGTTGCCACATTGGAAAAATCGAGGCGGCAGCGTTGATAAAAAAAGTGTAAAGCGCACCACAAAATAGACATAATTTATATGTGAATTAACGACCGCATTGTGTGTTTTTCGTTGTAATTTTTATTTACGATTGTTTACTCCATTTTATGTTTTAATATGACGCGATATTTATGGCATTTTGATTTTTGTCCGATGGCATTTCGAGACTTTTTCTAGTTGCTTCGCCCTAATTTATGGTGCCCTTTGTATCGACGTTCGGAATTTAATGGGTGAAAATAGTTTTTTATTGGCACGCATTAGGTCTATCTATCATTTGTATTAACTGTACATTTTGAATATTAATAGAAAATAAAACATGGCCGCCTATAATACGGATTCGTGGGAAAAAAAGGGAAAAAGGATTTCATTTCCAAATTCAAAATCTCGATCGAACTTCCAAAATTATGTCTCACTTGGAGCACATAAAGTCGAATCGTATGAATGTCGTTTATAATCATTTATTCATAGAAAATCAAATGTAATCCGGCTACCATGATTATTCGATTAAGGAGTTCATCAAATATTATTTCACATTAAATAACCAGAGCGAGGCGCAGAGTACCTCATTTTCTATGGTACTTCGTACAAATATCGACAATCTCATATTTTACGGCGTTTTTATTGACGTAAGGAATTCTCTTAGAAAGGACGAAAGGCACCGCTTTACGAGCGAGCCGGGCTCAGATTAGGAGATTGTAATTCGTTATAAATTCAATAATGATTAATAATGATATCGAATTTTCGAATATCATATGCGTTGGTAGATGAGCAGGGGTAGTTCGACATAGTTTATAACGATATTAGGAGCGAGTATACGTATCGTATTCATTATTGTAAAAGAAACAAAATAAGGGTTTAATATATCGAATTAGATGGTGACATAAGTTGTTAACGACAGCTAAAACGGTTACCTTACTTTATTAACAGTGCCTTATAGATTTAATGAAAAAGTTAGGATAATCATCAGTGCTTAGCAGCCTCTAGTAAATTAGTAATATGATGGTGAGACATTTGGCTATTTCAACTGAAAAAAAAACTGATCCCCTAGATATACAATTTCAAGACCATACATATCTGTTGATATGGACATAATCTTTCATAAAAAATATTACGGGACATTGAGAACTTATCAATTAACAATTTTTTAGATTACTACCATACCAAAA